CAGTCTGTGCAACTCACATGAATCATTTTCAGCGATTGTCCATTTTTACGTATTTTTTGTAACCATCTACCTCGAGTGTCTCTCGAGTCAAGGAGAAATTTTTTGTAAAAAAACAAACAAACAAAACAATGAATAATTTTCTCCATAAACGGACATGTAATATATAAAAATATATTAAAATGAGAGGAAAGGATGAACTAGGAGAAAAAATTAAACACCGTAAAATTGGTAAATCAAACGATTACTTAAAAAAAAAATGTTATCCAGTTATCGTTATATCATTGTGAACATATTTTTGTTTTGTCCTCGATTGAGCTATGAAGAGCGAAGAAGTCTATAACTAGATAGCTCCTTCTTAAATCTTTAATAATAATTTTCGATTTACCATTATACGATAATTTTTTTATTTTATTTCTCTGTCCGCTATTTAAAAGTATTTGTATATATGTTAATTTTTGAAAATGTCTATAGCAATAATGAAATCACTGAAATATCAAGCTTACGGGTTCAAAGGGTTAAACACCAGAATTTATTTTTAATTCTTTGTAGCCATCTCGATAGTGTCAGATTCTAGGTGCAAAGAAATACATAATAATAAGCTGATATTGATATATGACAGATATGAATAGACGGAACGAGACATGGATATAGTGATACCAATAAGTAAGTATAAATAGACTAGTATCAATCGATAGAAACAGTAAAATAATTATCGATAAGTCACTAAAAAATAGTAGTCATGACTACTATTTTTTTTTATTTTCTTATTTCACAGCCATACACACATGTTAGCATCACCAGGGAAGTGACTTATTGCGCCTTCTCGAGCTAACATTTTCGGTAGACAATATAATGTGGAGAATAACATATTGAATCCATTGCTAGGACTGCTGCTAAAAAAGTTGGTTCACTGTGTCGTGCTAGACAATTTTTTCTCCTGAAGCTATCCCGTCCTGTGCATAAACTACACCCGCGTCCTGGGTAAGACGATAAAATACGTCCAACAGAAAGGCCTCTGATCAGAAGGTTTTGAAGAGTGTGGAAGCACCTCTTAATTGCTGGTATTCCCAGGTCCATCCTAACTCGAGGTGGTAGCATCTTTTAGGGTCCCAGCTATTGGGGTCAAAACACCATGAAAGTGTAAAAATAGGTTTTCATACCAGAAGTACTTCGTAAAAAATTATTACCAGCATTTTTGAATAAATACATTTTTGAAAAAAAAAATACCAGCTATACATTAAAGAAATATACTACCAGCAATAAAAATCTTGTCGGCATTAAATAACCCATTGAGATTGATATGACGTAAAGCAAACCAAACAAAACCAAACCAAACCTGAATCTATCTTACATGTTTATGTCTATCATTCGTCCATGTCTCGAATATTGCTCCCACATATCGTCCGATTCTTGATAAAATCCAAAGGAGTATCAGCAATATTAATTGTCCTGACCTGGCATCTCGCTGTAAAGTTGCTTCCCTCTGCCTGTTTTATTTTTAACGCAGACTTTTCTTCAATTACTGTTTTCTTCAATTCTGTGAAAATTATTTAAAAATGCCATTACCATATAAGGCGACATATATATGTAACACATCTTTTGCTACGGCCTCCGCCTACACCCCGTGGTGTAAACACGTTTAGTGGTCCGGTCCTCAGGATCCTAGGACAACGTTTCAACCACAGGGTCTGCGCTGGTCAATGCTGGCGCTGGTCTAAGCTGGTTATTGGTCGCTGGCCGCTTCGTTCCACACTAACTCTCCCCACGTTTTGTTCTTGATCTCAGAACAATGGAAGATCGAAGGTCGTAGTAATCGCAGCGCTGGTTCAAGCCGTGACACAAGAAAAATATCTTCACGACGAAAATATAAAACGACAAATTCATGGCGTTAATCTTCAATTAGTTTATATAGTTGTTGGTACGACAAAAATGAACTTTTCCGGCATCAATTTCTATAGTGACACTGGGACTTGTCTAAAATTCTGGAGGAGCTGGGTTCAAAGTTCGTTAGCATCAGGAAACCTGGTGGAGGCTGAAGTGGATTTCAAAGACACTCGATATCGAGTTCTCAGCCTGAATATCTCTGAGCACCCAAAGTCGTCCATTAGAGAGAGAGAGAGAGAGAGAGAGAGAGAGAGAGAGAGAGAGAGAGAGAGAGAAGGAGAGTAAGAGGCAGAAGCACATGCACAGGTACGGTGGAGTAATAGTTAGCAGATTGGATTGAGGAATCGAAGAGCTGAATTCGAATTCCAGTCGAATCCATTACATTCACTTACGTGCTAATACCCTTGGGAAGGATATCTATCTACTTATCCCTCCAGCTATGGGTAAATAGCGGGACAGACCGGGTTCTATAGCCTTGGTCGATGGTATCAAATAAAACCAGGAAATTTTTCCTATATTTGGGGTCTCGTCTCAAGTCTCAAGTGTGACTGAAACTTTGAGGTGGTTAAATGTTGATTCTGAGCAGAAAAAGGTTTAAACCCGGAATAAAATATAAACTGGAAGATAGAGCGATAGAGAAAGAGAGAGAAAGGGAGACATTTTCTCTGATAATATGAAACTGAAAAAAAGAGCCATCTGGATCCCCC